AAACCCCTAAACCCCTAAACCAAGATCCCGACTCCAAGGATCCCGAAAGCCCTGCCTGGCGCCAGAAATCCAAAGATCCCCAACCCCGCCAAGACAAAACCCTAGAGTCCTTAATCCCACAACCCCAAACCCTCAAGCCCACAACCCTAAACCCTTAAACCCGCAACCCTCAACCCTAAACACGTTAGCCCACAACCCTAAACCCTTACACCCACAACCCTAAACCCTTAAACCCACAACCCCAAACCCCGTAAACCCACAAACCTAAACCCTTAATCCCTAAACCCTTAAACCCTAAACCCCCAAACCCTTAAACCTACAACCCCCTCCCTAAACCCTTAAACCCACAAACCCACAACCCCAAACCCTTAAACCCACGACCCCAAACGCTTAAACCCACGACCCCAAACCTTTAAACCCACAACCCCAAACTCTTAAACCCACAACCCTTAACCCTTAAACCCTTAAACCCTAAACCCTTAAACCCACAACCCTCAACCATTAAACCCACAACCCCAAACCCTTAAACCTACAACCCCAAACTCTGAAACCCACAACCCTAAACAACCCTAAACCCTAAACCAACGACCCCAAACAAATAAGCCACAACCCTTAAACCCACGACCCCAAACTCTTAAACCCACAACCCACAACCCCAAACCCTTAAAGCCACAACCCCTTAAACCCACGACCCCAAACTCTTAAACTTAAACCCACAACCCACAACCCCAAACCCTTAAAGCCACAACCCTTCAACCCACAACCCCTAAACCCTCAAACCTTTAAACGCTCAACCCCAAACCCTTAAACCCACAACCCTAGAATCCTTAAACCCTAAACTCTTAAACCCACAACCCCAAACCCCTAAACCCACAACCCCAAAACCCGTAAACCCTCAACTTTCCACTCATCCCGGGCTGCCCTCCTTTCCTGAGCTCCCCTGCCCTAAACCCTAAACCCTAAACCCTAAACCCTACACATAAACCCTAAACCCTAAACCCTACACATAAACCCTAAACCCTAAACCCTAAACCCTACACATAAACCCCAAAACCCTAAACCTAAACCCTACACATAAACCCTAAACCCTAAACCCTAAACCCTAAACCCTAAACCCTAAACCCTAAACCCTTTCCTGAGCTCCCCTGCTCCGTCGGATCGAAACCCACCTTGAGGATGGGGCTCTTGGGCCAG